AGGCAGTTACTCCAGGAGAGCTGGACAGGGCCGTAGAAGGTCTACAACCAATCAGCAGGACCGGTATCTGCTCCTTTGTGCAAGGGGGACCACTGCCAGAGCCCTACAAAATGACCTCCACCAAGCCACTGGTGTGAATGTGTCTGACCAAACAATCAGGAACAGACTTTAAGAGGGTGGCCTGAGGGCCCGATGTCCTCTAGTGGGCCCTGTGCTCACTGCCCTGCACTGTGGAGCTCGATTGGCATTTACAACAGAACACCGGAATTGGCTAGTCCACCACTGGCGCCCTGTGCTTTTCACAGGTGAAAACAGGTTCACCTTGAGCACGTGTGACAGAAGTGAAAGGGTCTGGAGAAGCCGTGGAGAATGTTATGTTGCATGTAACATTGTTCAGCATGGCCGGTTTGATGGTGGATCAATGATGGTCTGGGGAGGCATATCCATGGAGGGACGCACAGACGCAAGACAATGGCACCCTGACTGCCATTAGGTATCGGGATGAAATCCTTGCACCCATTGTCAGACCCTATGCTGGTGCAGTGGATCCTGGGTTCCTCCTGGTGCACGACAATGCCTGGCCTCATGTGGCAAGAGTATGCAGGCAGTTCCTGGAGGATGAAGGAATTGATACCATTGATTGGCCCCCACACTCGCCTGACCTAAATCCAATAGAACACCTCTGGGTGTTAGGTTTCTGTTTCTGTTATGTTTTTCTTTTGATATTCAGTTTTGCTTTGCTCTTTGTCTTATAGTTTTTTTATGGTTTAGTTCTTATTTTGTTTTGTTCCTTGGGTTTTTCTCAGTTATTGTTTCAGTCTTGGTTCTGTTTTGTTTTCTTTTGAGTATCCAGTTTTGCTTTACTCCTTGTTTTCTAGTTGAAAGGGTTTAATTCTTATTTTGTAGTGTTTTTCTGGTTATTGTCAGTTTTCTTGGTTTCTATTTGTTGCCCTCTGCTGCCCTCTTATGTTCCCCCTTTTCCCTAGCTCTTTTCCTCTCCTTTCCACTTCCTTTTTTCTGATCTTTGGACTTTGGACTCCTGGTTTCATGTTTGTTTGGACTTTGGTTTTTACTTTGGATTTTTGGATAACCTGCCTCTGTTTTCTGTTTTTTATAATTCACCATTAAATCAACTTGAGAAATTCACCTCTGCCTTCCTGCCTCTGCTTTTGGGTCTTCAACCCTCAAACAAATCTTGAAACTGGGAAATTATGTTTTGATCCATCCGACGCCGTCAGGTTGCACCTCAGACTGTCATGGAGCTCAGTGATGCCCTGGTCCAGATCTGGGAGGAGATACCCCAGGACGTCATCCATCGTCTCATTAGGAGCATGCACCGACCTTGTCAGGCATCCATACACGCAAGTGGGGGCCATACAAATTACTGAATACCATTTTGAATTGCTGCAATGAAATTTCAGCAAAATGGACTTGCCTGCTGCATAATCAATTTCACTGTAATTTTTGGGGTGTCTTTGAATTA